CCACCATGTGGACATCCAGCCTATCCTTGAACACCCGCACCGATGGGGCCTCAACAACCTCTCGTGGAAGCCCATTCCACTCCCTCGGGGTCCTGACTGTCAGGAAGTGCTTCCTGGCATCCAAACGAAACCGTGGCTCCCTGAGATTTGCTCCGTTGGAGTGCGTTCTGCGTTCCTCTGCAGGGGAGAACCCATCTCCATGTGACATCCCCTCACATACCTGTATGTCGCCAACATATCCCCTCTGAGTCTCCTCCAGGCTGAAGAGACCCAGTCTCGCCTCATACGGCATCCCCTGCAAACCGGCCACCAACCTTGTGGCCCTACACTGCACTGACTCTAACCTGGCTATATCCTTTCTGTAATGAGGGGCCCAAAACTGAACACAATACACCAATTGCGGGTGCACCAGAGTCGTGTAGAGTGGTAGTAATACCTCTCTCGATCTAGAAGTCACACTTCTGGCTATGCAACCAAGGGTGGCGTTCTCCCTCTTGACCACCGCATCACACTGCTGACTCATGTTTAGCCTGCAGTCAACCAGTCCCCCGAGATCCCTTTCACAAGTGCTGCTCTCCAGCCACGTGTCACCTAACTTGTACTTATGACAGCTATTCCTATGCCCCAAGTGCAAGACCTTGCACTTATCCACATTGAATGCCATCCTGTTGTCTCCTGCCCACTTCCATAGTCTGTCCAGATCTTTTAGGATCTGGGTACCTGCTCCTCAGTTGTGGCCACTGCTCCAGTTTTAGTGTCATCTGTGAATTTGATCAGCAGACTGTTCACCCCTTCTTCCATGTCGTTAATGAAAAGATTAAACAGGATCGGCCCCAAGACAGAGCCCTGGGGGACCCCGCTTGTCACTGGCTGCCATCCTGATGATTCCCTGCTAATGGTTACCTTCTGCTTTCGGTCAGTCAACCATGCCCTAATCCACCAGACAGTGCTTTGGTGTATCCCAAAACTCCTCAGTTTCTCCACCAGGATATCATGGGGCACTTTGTCAAAGGCCTTGCTGAAATCCAGGTATACCACATCCACTGCATCCCCTCCATCTAGCCATCTCGAAACCTTGTCATAGAATTCCACAAGGTTTGTCTGGCAGGACCTGTTTTTGCGGAAGCCGTGTTGTGTGGCTGTCAGCCTCCCTTCCCTATCTAGCTTCACTATCATTTCCCTATCTAGCATCACTAGATCTCTCTCTATTATGAGCCTGTCCATTGTTTTTCCTACAATGGACGTAAGGCTAACCTGGCTATAATTCCCCATGTCCTTTCTACTACCCTTTTTGAAAATTGGGACCACTGATGCCACCCTCCAGTCCTCTGGAACTTCACCCGTTCTCCATGAGGTCTCAAAAATGGAGGCCAGCGGGCGTGAGAAGAACCCCTACCAACTCTCTAAGTACTCTCAGGTGTAACCCGTCAGGGCCTGGCGCCTTTGTAATGTCCAATGCCCTGAGAGGAGCCCCTCGACTTCAAGGGGGGTGACTCTAATCTGTGCCCCTAAGTCCTCAGCCTCATCTAATCTCCCATGTGGATATCCCCCATCCTGCTTTGGGGAGAACACAGAGGCAAAACAGTCATTTTTTTATTTAAGACCTTTTTATTTAAGCGACATTTTAAATGCTAATACAACTGAATTTTATCTGGCCAGGGCGGCTTATTTTATAATGTGTGTTTTAAATTATGATCATTTTATATGGATATTTTAACTTATTGTTTTATCTAGTGTTGTAAGCCGCCCTGAGGCTTCGGCGAATGGGGCGGCATAAAAATGTTTTAATAAATAAATAAATAAATTTAGCATCTGTGCCTGTTCCTTCATATCAGTCACTGGATCTCCTTCCTCCTCATTTAGTGGTCCCACCACTTGT